ACCAGCTTAGACGAAACTAATTTAAAATCATGCCAATAGATAACTAAGGCACACTTGCTTTTATGCAATTTTAAGCTATTTTCAATTTTTAACATATATTTTTAAAGACAAAAGTTGGGACTTTTCTTCAATAGCTTCCAGGTCATGTGACCCACTGACTCAAATTTTTTGTGAAATAGTTTTACTACGTTATGCTGATGAGGCACAGTCATTTTTATGCAATTTAAAGCTGTTGTTAATTTTTAAACAGTTTTTATTGCAAAAATAATTGAAATTTCTTCAATAGCTTCCAGGTTATTTGTCCCACCGACTCCAAATCTATGTCTAATTTTTCTACTACTTTAGCCAGATGAGGCACACTCATTTTTATTCAATTTAGGCATTTGTGTGTTTTTTTATTATAATTTTTTTTTATATTTCTTCAATAGCTTCCAGGTCATGTGACCCACCGACTCCAAATCTATGTCCAATTGTTCTACAATTTTAGCCTGATGAGGCGCATTAATTTTTATTCCATTTTAAGCATGTGTTAATTATTAAACAAATTTTAATAACAGAATTAATTGATATTTCTTCAACAGCATCCAGGTCATGTGACCCACTGACTCCAAATCTATGTCAAACTGTTTTATTACATTAGCCAGATGGGGCACACTTATTTTATTCAATGTCAAGCCTTTGTATATTTTAAAAACATTTTTTAAAATTTAAAATTTTTATAATAAAAAACGCTTATATTTCTTCAACGGCATCCAGGTCATATGACCCACTGACTTCAAATCTATGTCAAATTGTTTTATTACATTAGCCTGATGAGGCACACTCACATAGATTTGGAGTCAGTGGGTCACATGACCTGGAAACTATTGACGAAATATAAGATTTTTTTATTATAATTTTTTTTTTTTAATATACAAAGGCCTAAATTGGAATAAAAATGAATGTGCCTCATCAGGCTAATGTAGTAAAACAATTTCACAAAGAATGAGTCAGTGGGTCACATGACCTGGAAACTATTGACGAAATATAAGATTTTTTTATTATAATTTTTTTTTTTTAATATACAAAGGCCTAAATTGGAATAAAAATGAATGTGCCTCATCAGGCTAATGTAGTAAAACAATTAGACTTAGATTTGGAGTCAGTTGGTCACATGACCTGGAAGCGATTGAAGAAATGTCAATTATTTTTATAATAAAAACTTTTTAAAAATATACAAAGGCTTAAAATGGCATCAAAATGAGTGTGCCTCATCAGGATAATGTAGTAAAAGAATTTGAGTCAGTAGGTCACATGACCTGGAAGCTATTGAAGAAACAAATTATTTTTATAATAAAAACTTTTTAAAAATATACAAAGGCTTAAAATGGCATCAAAATGAGTGTGCCTCATCAGGATAATGTAGTAAAAGAATTTGAGTCAGTAGGTCACATGACCTAAAAGCTATTGCAGAAAAGCCCCAACTTTTGTCTTTAAAAATATCTTAAAAACTGAAAATAGCTTAAACTTGCATAAAAGCAGTTGCCTTAGTTATCTATTGGCGTGATTTTATATTATTTTCGTCATAGCTGGTCATAAGATAAGGAATTTATTGATGTTTGTTTCTCAAGAGTGCTTGGTTGAAAGATTTGTTGACGGTCCCTAAATGCACCAGCGCGTGTGTGAAGAGGGAGCAGCTGAGAGACGCTGGCCGACCTCAGAGTCCCTCAGTCGGCTCAACTCTGGGCTAGATCCCGCTCAACTTCAAACTAACTTTACCGCGGTGCTGAACCACTTCATTGCACAACATTATACTAAATGCGACCAATCGAAGGAGTATTGAAAACAAAAAAAAAAACAAAACTCAAATGTTACCCCCCCCCTTAACCAAGAAGGAAAACTGACGAATCCGTCAGTGGCGAATAAATAATGAGCAAGTTGCTAAACTGGTTAAATGAACACTTTTCTGGTTTTATTTAATACCACTACTGTAGAGCGATGTTGCAATCCTCACTTTATTTCAGAGTCTTGGCTCTGAAAACTCTCAGAGGAATAATGTGGGTTGAAAACAGCTGCAACCAATCCAGGGATTATGATCTCTGCTTTTTCTCTCACCACTTATTCAGTCAGATACCCTGAACATTTTTTGCTTTTATTCAAAGAGGACTACATAGATTCACTATCTGTGCTGAATAAAACAATAAAACACATCGGCTTTTATAAGCAATGACAAAATAAACTTACAGCCGTTTGTTTCTGGGAGCAGTCCTGTAAACCAACAGACAAACAAACAAAAAAAGCATTAAATACTTAAAGTATTTAGTCATGACTTTTTGACTTTCAAAGTTTGAGAGGCTGTTGTTCCTTCTGTACAGGACATTGAAGTGAAGGAAACAAAAATTCAACAGTCATGCTGCTTATTACCCTAAAAAAACAACAGATTGATGAAAGTAACAGCTGGCAGAACACAAATTGTGAGGTTTTCACATATTTCAACTTTCTGCATAGTTGCTCTCAGAATAAATAAAAAGGCTGCCTCAGTTAAATGCTTTCCTAAATGCTCTATACAAGTTAAATATTTATGTAACTTACCTGAGATTGTCACCAGAAAAACTGCCACAAAAAAATGCTGCATTTTGCCCCTTCTTCACCTTCAAGCAACCTCTATACTGATTTTTGTCTTTCCCTGTCCTTCTGAGTCTGGTCTGTAAGTGAAAGCAAAAATAGAAAGAAGAAAAAAAAAAGGAAGAGTGTGATGTCATCTTCCCCAGAAGGAGGGAGAGAGGCGCCCCTATACTATCTCAAGAAGAACATTAAAGTTTGATCAAAAGAAATAATAAACTCACTTTGGGAAGTTTCTCTTTAATCAGTAAATTCCTGAAAATCGCAAGAGGGAAATGCATCAAATAATATACCCTATGATGTCAATGTAATCAGACGGGACTAGTTGTAATACTTGCTGAAATACTGCATCTGAGTGTCATTCACAGATTATTTTTACCTGTAAATTGAATTAATTCACTCCCTATCATTTCTGATGAGTTCTCAGTCTCCAATGGCGGTTGAAGAAAAATTACATAAGGGTGGCCAGCAGGGACTAATGTGCACTGAGGAGTGGAATGGAAATGAATGGGCACCAACCCTGTTGTGTCAACCTATACTGATCACAATGAACCAACAGGAAAATTAATAAAGCACAACATCTATATTTTCCAAATAATTCACTGAAAACAGACCAGATTTTCATGAGGCCATTGTTAATAAAAAAATGCACATATTTATACATTGGAACTGGCTTGAGCTGTTCCTCTTCATCTTTAATTACATAGAAAAAATCCTTGATGACTGCAAAGACTAACTTTTACGTATAAAACATAAAAACTAATTTGTCCTCTTACAATGCAGCCTATTGTTGTAATTGATTGCTATGTACTTGTTTTTAGTTTTGGTTAATACAGCTACTAACTTTAAAATGCCAAAGTAGAACATTCTCCATGATGGTATCACTGCTGCCACCCTCTGGTTTACAAGAGAACTGTTCGTTCCAGAGTTGGCAAATTAAATCCACATGGGGATTAAAGGTATTGTGGAGGACTTTTGAAATGTTTTTTTAGAACACCCACTCTCTCCACTTTAAAAAAAATGGACACGGACAACCCTGTACCTGCTCCCGAGAGGGAACGCCTAGTAAATGCATGCCAGGACCATTGACAAGCCCATTTATCCTTGTGCACGCTCTGTTTAAATGTTGCTGTTCTTATAGCCCATACAAGCCTAGTGTGTCCGAACGTCCACCCTAACCCTAAATCCCTCATCACTATATCCAGCAAGGACTATATAGTGGACTTTATAGCGAACTCAGTTAAAGGTACACTATGCAACCGGTGTTGATTTTCCAGCGAGGCTCCCCCCAGAGGGCGAAAGTAAAAGTGCACTGTCGTAAATATGCTCAGCTGTTCTCCTGGTTTCTCCGTCAAGCCAGGCGCGGTTGTTTTGAGCTTAGCAGACATGCGAACGCAACAAACGACTAAGCATCT